CTCATTTTGGAAAGTGTCCCTCAGGAAAATGTCACCCAAAGCACACATAACGGAGCAGAAGTAATTGTTCAGATGCCATTGTAGGCAAAGACCCAACACCATCCTTCACAGGGTTGCCATGACAGTTTTTGCCTCAGCAGCCTCTTGCACACAATGCTCTGAAAGAAGCAGACAACTGAAAGACGGGCAGACTCCTCTGCTCATTACCCACAGATAACTCCATTTAGCTCACCTTGGTGCTCCAATGCCACATGTTCTGTCTACTACCACCCCCTGCCAATCATCTCTAGGGCCCACTGTGTTATGTGCAGGCACTATAAAAGGGACCCAAGTGATGTCCTTTCAGAGACTGCTCCTATCTTTAGATCCTAAAAGGGAAATAAAAAAAAAAAAAGTTATTGCAACTAAAAGCCACCCCCCTCTCCCCAGCAATTAAAACTTATTCAACCTCCTTGATGCCTCGACTTACATGTACCATGTAAGCTGTAAAAAATGCCTGAATCAATAGTGACTTTTTTTTGTAGCACCTAGAAACACGATAGCATAGTCCCTCTTCCTCATCACTGAGGCTTGGATACTTGAGCAGACCAGAACCATCCTAAGCAGGAGACAAACAAGAGACCCCATGCACCAGACAGGATGAGCATTGTTAGCTGCATACAATTAAGACCTTGCACAAACATGCTGCTTAGAATGGATGTGATGTATCAACAGCACGCAGGTTGGCTAGCATGGATTTATTATGCTGCTAAAGCCTGCAGCAGGGCAGTTCCATAGCCTGGATTAGGTCTCAGGCAGATACCACACTAAAAATTCAACAGATGAGTTTCCTGTTTGGTTTGAAGTGGCCGTACAAGTCATGTGTTACAAATTCAGTAGGTTATCTTCCTTACCATGTAGGATATCTTCTTATCTCAGGGTTAAAAGCCCCAGCCTTGCAAACCAGGGTTAAGACTTTGAAGCTCACTGTAGTCCTTTCCAGCCCCACTTTTCTATGATCCTACAAACAAACACTTACCTAGGCTGGTCAAGTCAGGGAAGCTTCTGCTTCAAATCTCACCATAGTCCCTTTCAGTCCTATTTCCCATGATCATGCAGAGCAGCACAAACTGGAGTCAGGGTGTTAAGTCATTAAGGAGCAGGCTTCTCCCTCCCACCACACATGCACTAAACACCAGTTACACGATACATGAAATCCATGTTGCCATACAATGCTGCACATGTGTACGTGAGGTGACTCCAAAGTAAATAGTGCATCCAACCCATTCTCTAAAGCTGCCAATTTTCAGAATACAAAATTCTTCAGCTGAAAGGTAACTGTACCATGACACTGCTGCATGCATTACCAATTAAAGGAGACAAAAAAACTCTAGGGGTAGAGGTGATATCTTTTATTTATTATTGATTAAAAGAACCCAGAGATCTCATTTTAGGTTAAAAATCAAGTTAAAACTATTCCAAATACGTGCTCACCCCCTAGCGGAGAAAGTGTGGTGCCACACTAAACAAGTTCTTAAAATACTTTACAGGCAGCCAGGCAAAAGTACTCACACCCTCAAGGCATTGCTTTTCATTAGAAAGGGTCCCCATTTGCCTCAAGCACATTATGTCCATATATAAAGATCAGAAGTGCATGTGGTGTATCAATTTGCTCTGTGGGACCTGTGGTGCTGAAGGCCTCCACACAGCTCATGCTCCTTGTATGGCAGACATTAAAAAAAATTACAGGACAGAAGTCAGATCCAAGAGTTGAATTTTATTCATGTGGTTCAAGGCATTTAGGCAAATTGCTTCCTATAGGAAGAGAGACTGCATCCAGTGACAGTCAAGCTGAAGTGTAGTTATGGTAGCCTCACCATAATACCAAGAGATCTTCCAGTCCAAGCCACCTAGAAACAAATAACTAGGACACTCAACCACCAGCACACCATTCAAAAGGCTTCACACCTACAAGTTAGAGCAGTACAGAGTACACTGTAAGCAATGAAGCAAACTGCATAAATATAAATCAGCTAATGGCACACTTGCAAGTTGTCAATTGCTGCTTGATTAAACTGATGCAGATTTCATACCGTAGACATTACAAGGATATTGCTTAGCAGATGTGCGTGAGACAAGGATGTAAGATTCAGAAGTGGCGCATGCTCTCTGGACAAGTGCAAATGCAGTATATTTCACTGGAGAGGAAGTTTTGATGAGCTGCTGGCCAGCTTTACAGAAGAGCAAGCAAGTCGTTCCCATGCCCAGATGGTCCATTAAATTTAGTAATCTGCAAACAAAGGCAGCCTTAGCAACTGACAGGCTGCCCATCACAGTGGACAGTGCCTAGCTCAAGATGGTCTGGTCCTTAATGGAGTGTAGAGATGAGACTGAACTCAGACAATTGCCAGGCAAAGGTAAAAAACAAAACAACTTCTTACTTTAGGCAAAGACAGCAGCTTCCAGATGATGTTGATCAGATGAGTTATTCAGCAACATTAGAAAAAGCAATTAAAAGTGTAAAAGGTTAATGAAGTCTTTGCATGTCCTTTATTCATGCTATAATTTGACAAGCTACCAACTAAAGAGGGAGAGACTGGAGGTCTCAATAAAATAACTTTCAAGTGAAGTTACTTTCCAAGTCCTTCCTTCTTTCTTGTTGCTGTGTGTTCATACTGGTTTGTTATTTTGAAGCTGAGTTACTGAGAAATCAGTATGTGCCTAAACTTTAATTAAATATTTACTTTGGCTTATAAGGAAGAAAGAGACTTGCTTGGTGTAGCTTTTAATTTTACAACAGGCACCAAACTAACTCTTTTGTAAAGAACTATATCATACTGTATGCTGCTTAGGAGGGAAAGTGCCTGAAATCTTTCAATGATTATTTTAGACTTGTAACCTCAATTTGGAAGTGAAGACTTACAGATTACAAGGAATTCTGCTGCTTCATGCTCCAAGTCTTCCTTTTTACCAAAGGTCTAAAGAGATTACATAAAACATTGGTTTTATATTGTACTTTAATAGTTACTGGTATGTTGTAAGTTATAACACTGGAGAGTCATCTATTTGTACCTGTTTTTGACATGTGCTTTGTTGCACAAGCAAGCAGAATGAATGCAGGTTGGTTTGTACTGAGAAGAGCAGCATTTACCAGAACAAAAAAAAGAAGTCTGAAAAGGCATGGAAAGACCTTCATAGAGTAGGTTTATGCCCAGCAGCATGTATGTGAAAGTTTCACTAACTGCAGTCTAAGACTATTATTCTAACATTAAAAGTTTTCCTAGAGAAAGTAAACCACCACAATCTTGTACTTAACAAAAATGCTGAGATACAGCTGAATTAAGTTACCCAGGAAATAACCTTCATTAAACAGCCGCTTTCTGGTCAACAGGCTTTTATCTTCACACAATGGAGCCCCTGAACAAGAAAGCATGGAAAGTGTTACAGGCTATTCACAGAACATTTAAAAATTATTTATTGGGGCATACTCTTTTTATTTTGCTTAGTTGCCTTTTCAGGTATACTAATGAAATAATCACTTCTGTTGCAAGCTCCAGATTACATGATGATTGGCAAGGGGGTGGAGCAGGGCAAATCACACACAACACAGGCTTTGAGGTGTGTCTGCTTCTAAAGCTTCACAATTCACTATTTTTCCATTTTATAAGCAAAGCAAAACATGTTGTTACACTCCTGTTTACATAAGAATATGGCCAACTCTCACCCTTTAATCTAGAAAGACCAGTGGTCCACAACAATCATACGCTATCTATTACTGTTACGTTTTATTAGAAGAGAACCACCACTTTATTAACATGTATCAGGCCAATTGCTCTAAAGAGGATGCCTAAGTTATGAGAGGTCCCCAAACCCTGTTCTACTCAATGGAAAGAGACAGCTCTCTGCAGCCACAGCTCAAGCAACACAAAGCTTGTGTCAGTAGAAACTAGTCAACAGGGTCAGACTGACAGACTAGATTAAAATTAAGAAATACAGTTTGTTTCCCCAATACTGGGATGCTCTTTGGTACTTATTACCACCCTCAAGAGGAATCAAATGCCTACAGGCAATTAAGTCTTGAAAACCAGCTGGGGTTTCCTCAGAGGAATGCCTACATGCCTAATTGTTGGCACCTCTGTGAGCTCTGGTGTCAGAGTTTTAATAGCAAGTCTGCCAGCTCCACTGACACCTGGTAATTTGTTACATTGCTCCTGCAAACATGCTGCCCTCCTAGGTCTCCTTGATTGTTCCACTGTCTGGCTGAAGTGGCATCAAGTGAGACAACACTGAGGTGGGGTGAGATGGGATACGATACGAGCTGGAGCTTTCCACAACTATTAACAGCCAGACTGGAAATGCAGAAGACATAGATGGAGGGTAGTCCTTTCTACTGGTCATTTGCAGCAACAACTGTTTTACTTTAACATCTACTGAAGATTCAGGGAAGGCTTGAACTGTGGCTACAAGCCTATGAGTACACTTTTGAAGATAATTCTTTGTAAAGATTTTGGGGGCCGAGGGACAAACACTCTCAGAATCAGGCCCTCAAAGACGAGCATTTGAGAAACAGGACCCCCATTAACGCTTTGTTTTCCTGGCTATCTCCTTCAGCACAGGATTATCTTGTTTAGAATAACTCTTCCCCCCCACCCCATTACCTACATCAGGGATTAGCAACTTCAATTTGTAAAATGCTGGCATGCTAGGAGCAGATGGTGGGGCAGCCTGAGGGGCCCAATCCCTGTCGTTGCCATGTAGCCCTGGCCTCCCCCACCATCATCCACCCAGAGGTGTGCAGCCAAGCAAGATGCCATTGCTGGGGGTTGCCTACCCCTGACCTACATCTTACTGGGGACTAACCTCCCTAATTAAGCTCCTGTGGAGCGTACACCTCCCATGACCTTTCAAGCAATGACTCACCACTTTCATAAAGGAGTCGCTAGACCATCCACGTGGTTATACACCCCTCTTAAGGCAAGCATCATGCTTTTACCTATGTATTGTATAGATTTATTACTTACTGGTGCCAAGATTGGTCTGACTATTACCCCAGATAGAAAAAAATAAAGGATAAGAGGCGCAGCAAGCGGGCGCAGACGAACCTAAACGGGGAAGAGGAGACAAGGAGGGTTTGTAGCGCCAGGACACCGCGAGGAGCCACCCCCCAGGGGAAGGGAGGGGGTGTAGGCAGCATCATACATGACCACCGCAGCCTCTGCCGTGCTCACACCTGCTGCTGCCCGCGGCCCGCCCAGGGCCGCCTGGGTTGCTGTAGGGCGCGGGCGGGGCTGGCTAGTACAAGGCGGCGCCAGCGCGCGGCCACACAGCAGCGCCCGCCCAGGCCCAGGACCGCGGATAACACCCCCGGGCCCAGAGCCGGGACTTACCTCAGGCCAGCATTGGCCTCATGGACTCTCGCGGCAGGAAGCGGAAACCACCTAGCAAGACAACGCCCCGGAAGTAGCAACATCCCGACCGGAACAAATAGGGAGAAACGTAGAGAAAGACTGGCTGGCGGCTAGAGCGTCGCCGTGGCCTCAATCGTCAAGAACGGCCCCGCCCCCGCGCCTTAAAGGGCCAGCAGCGCCCGGTTGCCATGGAAACGGACTCTTAGGGCATTAAAGCTATTGAGCTATAACGTCGCTGTGTCCACGCCATGCAAACGCTGCAGCCGCCGTCCAACTGCCCAGTTCCCGGCCAAAGTCCTTAAAGCAAAAGCGAGATGGTGCAGGTGCCCCAGGCCTGTGGACCGCAGCAGGCAGGACAAGGACAAGGCCAGGGACAGAGACAGAGACAGGCGTCCTCGGGCTCATGACACAACTGAGTCCCGACAGCCGCGTCTTAAGTTGAAACGTCACAGTTCGGAACCGATTTCCCCATAGGAGCAATGTCATCAATGGGGGATTGGTTCCTGAAACAAAGCCCGATACCCAAATTTCACCAAAAGTAACCCAGAGTTTTAAACTCAGTCAATTACAGATGAGTAATATAGCTACATGAATGTATTTATATTGTAAATAGCAGTTGTATGGATTTGGAAGGACTTCTTCGAGGTGACTTTGCTGGACTTGTTGAAGGGCTCTTGGCTGGCGTCTTCTCAGGAGTCCCGGCTGCAGGTTCTTCTGGAGTCTTGTCTGTTCTCTGGAAGAAAGCGTCCAAGGAAGTTTGGAGACATGTTCTCCAGGGAGATGGGCAACGCAGCGAACTTGGCACGACGTCGGATCAAGCATTGCAAGGTTGAAACCGACAGCAGAAAGACGAAAGTGCTGTTCGTTGTAACTCAAAACGTCTTAAGTTGAGGGCTGCCTGTACTACATAACTCGCTGGGAACTGCTGTCATTTCCATACTTGATCCCAACCTGGAGGGCACCCCGGAGAATCACAGTTTCTTCTTTGCTTAGCATCAGTCCTGAGCTATTGCACTGGACAGCAGCGGAGCTGGTGAAAGGACTCAGGGATGCTGACTCTTAAGGACTTCATTCAGCCATCAGACATGAAACTCCCTCGCACCGGCATGTCTTTAGCACAAGAAGACATATGCTAATATGGTCAGATTAGGGAAAGGGAAAAAGATGACCTTGGCAAATAGAGGTTCAAAACCAGCAAGTGAGAAAAAGAGTGCTTTACAATGAATGCCCCCTTCCCTGACACCCTCTGCATCCTTACACGCATGGGGGGAAAACCACATGCCGTTGGTTTTACTCCTGACTTAGCTTATGCCCCCCCACAAATGCAGCATCTCCAGAACAGCTTCACCTGCACACAAAGTGGCTTGAGCACCTGGCTAGAGCTTGCTTGAATATTCTTGGCATTCCTCTTCCAAAAGCTGCCAGAAGAATGACAACTTGAGGGCCAGGTGCTGTTTGACACCTGTCACTGAAGCTGTACTAGGGTAAGTGGCACAGGGTGAACTGAAAGAAACAGTTATATGGAGCTATGTATGGTGTGGGATTATCGGGCTACCTTTGGGGTGACTTGGAGGTAGAGGGGATAAGGACAAAAATAACCCCACAGGTTAGGAGAGGTGCACAAAACAGGGATTCCTAATAACAGCCCTCCCCTTCTCATTTGTTCAGTTTGGGGTTGACAGTGTGTCCATCACACATTATCACATGTTCTCTAGATACATTTACATAATTTTAAAGCAAAATATAGAACCTGTTGACTAATATCAACACAAGCTTGATAAAGAACTAAGTACATTCCCCCACCCAGAGCCCCTCAGACTGACACCCTGGGGGAAAACGAACCAGAGCTCCCTGAATTAAAACATGTTTGATTGTGAGGTACCTGACTTGATAGTATAGGCTTTGTTGATCAGACCTGCACTGCTTGAGTGTTCACACAGCACTAATTCACACTAATTCCTACGCAGCCTGCACTGACCTCTGTAAAAGCTGAGGTTAGTTCTCTGGGGAAAACTTTTTGTGGTCAGGTGTTGCAACTTATACAATGCCCCGAAGGCCAAGTGACTCAGGGTCAATTTGACAGCAGTGTGTAGGAAAACTGATCCTTTCCTAAAACTCTCTGGCTGAGAGCAGAGCTTTAAACAGTCAACATTTTAAACAGTCTAAAGTTTGGGTTGCATTCAGAAAAGTTTCCAGAGGTTTAACTATTTTGCTAAAGCTTCTTTGAATTGTGGAATCTCCATCCTTGGAGGTTTTTAAGACCCAGCTAAACAAAGCCTTGACTGGGATGATTTAGTTGGGGATGGTCCTGCTTTGGGCAGGGGGTTGAAATATATGACCTTGTGAGTTCCCTTCAAACCTTAATTTTCTATGATTCTATGACCTAAGTCTCTAGACTCCATGCATGAATTCAAACTTTCCAGGCCAGTTAGGGACCAGAAGTGGATAAATAATGTTCTAAATCCTCACGTGAATTTGGTTCCAGAACGGGATGATGGTCCTGAGTTTGGGTTGCAGTTTCTTTTATCCAAACCTACTCAACCATTCCTACCTAGATCGTTACATATTTTCCTCATCAGCCAGAGTGGCGCTGCTAGGCCCAAGCAGTGATCTCTCCTAATACACTGGAAGCAGCCTCAGACCTGTTATAAATAGTGCTGGTCCCAAGCTACAGAACTCAGTGTGAGCATTGAGTCCTGGTCCTCCACACCCACTAGAGAGGACTAGAGGGCAGTCCAAAAGGGACAATAATACAGGTTGGAGAGCCCCTGCATGGCAGACAGATTACAGCCCACACTACAATTGTATGTATTTTTCTCTCCTCTCACTCCACTGTGTCAGCTACATTCACATCCAGATTTTAAACCCCGGTGAGAATGATAGGATTGGGAGCAGAGGTTAGCAACATTTTTGGCAGAGTGCCAAAAACACCCACAACCTCAATTTGTAAGATGTTGACACCCCAAGGGCAGATGGCAGAGGAGCCACAAGGGGCCCAATGTTTTCTATAGCAGTGCAGCCCTGGCCCCTTCCCCACCATAAGCCCAAGGGCACGTGTGCCAAGCAAAATGCTTTCACATGCCACGGCCAGAAATCAAAAGTTATTTGCATCCTCAAGAGATGTTTGTCTAATCTGTTAAAAAATACTTCCCATGCAAAATGTTCTACAGTATCCCTGGATGGCCTGTTCCAGTGTTTGGCCACCCTCAGGGTAAGAAAGCTTTTACTAATATGTAGCCTAAATTTCCCTTGCTGCAAATTAAACTGCTTTTTTTTTGTTCTTCTTGCAATGGCCAAGGAGAAGAGTCAATCAATTTATTTTTTTATAGCAAAGGGTTAAGTTAGGGGTTGCTTGAAGTGAGAGGGGGTTTTTTGCCTGACCTAAAGACAGGGGCCATGTACATATTCACGTTCCACAAGAACCTGAGGTCCAGCTCTTGTGATGAGGGACAAGCATGGGGGGGGCAGCGTTAATGTTTAGATAGGGGACACTTTGCTATGTCTCGCCACTTCTTATTTAACAATAAATAGGAAACAACTTAAAAAATGGAAGCGTACAGTCTTTCCTACTTCTGTGACTGAGAATGGCTTTAGTACCCTCTTCCACTTAGCCCAGCATCTCTCAGGAATCTTTTTCTTTATACCTTGCCTTTGTTGTCCTTTTAACTTCACCCTATTCACTATATAATAGCCTACATACACAACATTTAATCTCAGTAGCTGCCTCCCTGGATACTGCTGCCATCCAGCCAAAACATAAATGGCTTTGAGGTGCCTGAAGTGTTTCATTCCATTAACTCCATCTGTGCCTTCTCCAGATAAGATGCTCTTCCCAGATGTTTGAAATTCCTCTAATGAATATTCATGAGCACAGATTCAGCTGCACAGACCTACCACTCTCACCCTCCCACACATATGAACAATTAATCATGCTCTGCCAGCTGCAGATGTCCCTAAGGGATTGGAAGAGTGTTAACTCAAGACAGCTGGGCCTCTTGAATGCTGAAGCGCATTGGATGTGCCACTTTGGGGATTTACATTCACTGGTAATTATCTGAAGTTCCTACAACTTAACAAAGTTCTCTCCACCTCTTCCTTTCCATGCTTTACCACAGGCAGAATCTGTTAGCATTGCTTTGGGGAAGGAGCTGCCTCAGTACATGCTATGATTAGCGAACCCACCGCATGCACACAGAGATGCAATGAAGTCAGTGTAGTTCTGGCTGAGGCCCAGGAGAGCCAGCAGAAGGAAGGTTCAGGATAAAAATTCAGTTTGATGCACCAGGCTCAGCTCTCTCCCCTGCATCCATGTTACTGTATGAAAGAAAATCTCACCAATGAATGACTGTTGATCTATTTATTTCTAGGATTTGGGGGGAAAAAAAGAATAAATATATACAAGTAAAAAAAAAAAGCAGTTCAGGCCTTGCTCCCTCTGATTGGGGCAATAGGAGAATATTTTAATTGGCAGCTCTATAAGATTTTATTTTACTATGGAAGATGCTTGGATACCACAGTGCTGAAGCTGGTGTAGGGGCTTGACTAGGATCGCTGATTTAAGTACTCTCTGCTCTTATTTAGAGTGGTCTTTTTGCTTACAGAGAGCTGAGTTGGTTATAGGAACCAGTCAGCTGAACCCTCTGAATAGGAGGACTGGTTTTGCCTTTTACTCCAACAGGATCAGGTCCAATGGGAGCATTACCGGGAGAAGGAACTGAACTGGCCAACAAAGATTGGGATTCCTTAGGGGAATTCCTGTAAGGGAGCCAGCAGCCACTAGCTGCTTGCTAGGAAAAGTAGATTCATAGATGTAGGGTCAGAAAGGACCTAAGTAGATCATCTAGTCCAACCCCTTATTTACAGTAAAATGTAAATAAGGCCATAACACCCACAAATCCAACACCGGTAATTCTCACAGACACTTGGCTGCCCACCCTACAAATGCATCAAGACTCGTTGGAATACAGGATGGAATCCACACACAA